CACACTTCACACAGTTACTAAATAAGGAAAGCAGCCACTTAAGAAAGCATATGATTAAAAAAAGAAAGAAAGAAAAAGAAAGCATATGATTGAGGGCTGGGGAGATAGCTCATTGGTTTAAGCGCCTTCCTGGCAAGTACAATAGGCCCAAGTTCGATCCCAGGTACCACATGCCAGTCAGAGGCCAGCCTGAGCTACACAGTGAATTCAAAGCCAGCCTGAAACTTGGTCTCAAAAGCCAAACACACAAATGAGAAGTCATGCCAATCATACTCAAACATCAACTCTGCCGACCACCAGCTATGAGACTTTCAGCAAATTAAAAAGACCTCTGTGTTCAAGGTTCAGCCCATTAAGATGGGACTTCCATCACCTACCCTCAGGAGCATGAAGACTCCCTGGAACATCACTTCTAACATGTTTCTCATAGAGCTGGGCACACATTTATTCATTTTATAAATGCTGGTTGTTCATGTCAGAACAGGGATTCAAACTCCGTGCATGGGGAGTATAATTTAGCAAAGCAAACAGATAGCCAAACCAATGTACCAGAACAAATGACTATACAATACCTAAGAAAGCTATGTTTTCAATCACAATGTCCAGGTCAAAGCATCATGCCAATAAATAAATAAATGAATACAGAAATAAAATAGAAACTATAGAATGAAAGGAATCCTATCTATAAATAATAGCACCAAAGAAGAAGTTTCCTAAGTCCAACAAAATGCAAATTATCTCCAAGTACACACAGGAACCATTTACTGAGCTCAACGGTAGATTCACTATAGGTATCTCTTAGTTAACAGACTCCATCAAGAAAGTCCTTAGACTGCCTGGCAAGTGCAAGGGTCTGAGTTCAATCCCTGGTTCCGCCAAAAAAAAAAAAAAAGAGAGAAAGTCCTTAGATGCCAGGAAGATAGCTCAGTGGCATAAGGGCCTGCCTGGCAAGTGCAAGGTCCTAAGTTGGATCCCCTGTGCAAAATAAATAAATAGGGGGGCTAGGGAGATAGCTCAGTAGAATAAGCACTTCCCTGGCAAGAGCAAGGGCCTGAGTTCAATCCCTGGTTCTACCAAAAACATTTAAAATAATAATAATAATAATTTTTTAAAAGGTCCTTAGACAAGTGCTAAGCTTGAGAAGACAGCTCTTATAAAAGATGCTTGGGAGGAGCGGTGAGATAGCTCAGCAGACTAAAGCGCCTGCTTAGGCAGGCTCAGGCAAACACAGGGACAATAGTTCAATCCCCAGCACCATGTACCACACCAGCCCTGCCCCCAGGGTGGGCTAAGTAAGCCACAGAGTCTAGGCACAGTGGTTAGTAGTGTAAACCTGTAATCTCAGCACTGGGGAGGCTGAAAAAACAGGAGGATCACTATGTGTCTGAGCTGCGTATAACAGAGAGACCCTATAACAACCAAATACATTAAAGGAAAAAAAAAAAAAAGATGCTGGGGAAGACTATTAAAAAGCATGTGTGTTGGGGAGGTTCTAGACTCTAAGGAAAAAAATTGTCTCCATAGGGAAAATCTCTGAGGCAATTCTATATTATAATAGGTTAAAAGTCTTTATTCCCAAATTTGAAAGTGATATAAACAGAAATTTTAAAATATAGCTAGGAAGAAAATAATAAAATAAAATATAGCTAGGACCAGGAAGATAGCTCAGCAGCTTAACTGCCTACCTGGCAAGGTCCTGAGTTTGATCCCCAGTACCACAAATAAAATATAGCTAAACCAGTAAATTATAAAAATTTATATATTAGAGCTGGCCAAATAGCTCAGCAAATTAAAGTGCCTGCTTAGGCAGACTCAGGGACCAGGAGGAGTTCAATCCCCTGGTCTGCCAATCCAGCCCCGCCCCCAGGGCATGCTGACACTGGGATTGAGACTGGGTGTGGTGGCGCACTCCTGTAATCCCAGCACTTTGGGGGGCTGTAAACAGGAGGATCGCTATGAGCAGTGAGACCCTGTCCACCCTATCCTAAATACAAAAAATAAATAAAAATAAAATTTTGATCATTACACTAAAAAATTTCACGGAGGGGGTTGGGGATATAGCTCAGTGGCACAGTGCCTGCGTGGCAAGCACAAGGTCCTGAGTTCAATTCCCAGTGCCAAAACAAAACAAAACAATTTACTGAATTCTCTGGAGGGTCCATCCAAACTTGCAGATAAGATAATCCCTACATTATATATAGTCTTTTAAGTTATAGGAAAAATGTAGGTAAATAAACCTCTATAGGCTAAAATGGTTTTGATGTTTGCAAATTAGAAAAGAAAAAAAAAAGGCCATAATAATTTTCATAAAACTAAAAACATTTGTAGATTATGTTTGTGTAGGGTATTTTTTTCCCCTGAAAATAAAAGTTGTATTTATAAGACAGGGAATTTGAATATTGGTGCTAGAGAATAATAACATTATATTCCTTTTAGAGTAGTTTTTTATTTTATTTTATTTATGTGTGTGTGTGTGTGGCCAGCTCAGCCCACCAGGGGGCAGGGCTGGCTGGCATGTGGTGCTGGGGGATTGAACCGTGGTCCCTATCGCTAAGCTTGTTCTTAGAAGGTGCTTTAGACCACTGGGCCATCTCACCAGCCCTATATTCCTTTAAAAAAAAACATTTAATCACTGGACAGCAGATGGAGCTCAGTATGCAGACTTGCCCGGAAAGTAGAGAGCCAGGGTTCCATCTTTAGTACCTAAATAAATAAATAAATAAGGTGGTGTCGTGATTATGTTAACAAAATGTACTCCTTACCCGTTAGAAATAGTGAAGTATTTATGAAGTAAATCACAACTGGGATTTGCTTTAAAATAAAAAGTTGATGGAGATAGCAATGGAGAAGAGAGAATAGGTGAAAGGAGACTGGCTGTGTTTTAAAAATGGCTGAGCCAAAATGGTGGGTACAGAGGAGTCAACATTCTCCTCACTGCTTTCTAGTAAGTTGTGAAACTCTGTAGATGGGGGAGGGAGGCTGGGGAGGGTGGGAGGATGCAGAGGTGGGAAGCGGAGGGTGGGGAGGGTGGGAGGATGCAGAGGTGGGAAGCGGAGGGTGGGAGGATGCAGAGGTGGGAAGCGGAGGCTGGGGAGGGTAGTGGGGTTGGTCCATAATGATAATCTCATTTACTCTAGAAAAACTTTAAAACCAGAAGTCAACTCTAGTTGGTGAAAACTTCTTTACAAAACAGATAAGAACAGGAAAAGATTGCAGAGACTTCCAACACTGTTAGTACTCTGTATTGAGTGAGCTACGATGTTCCGGAATTTGCTAGAATGTGCTAGAATACCCATTCCTCTTTTCTCTACCACTTCCTTCTTCTTGTGATTGCTGACAGTGACTGCTGTTACCTCAACAACTAGAAACAGACTTTAAATAATTTCCTCATTACATTAACTAAATAAGGTAGCACTGTTAAAATTGAAGACCCTCCTCCTTGTACAGTATGTACCTCCTTGGTGACACATT